CCTTTCTTTCCTTCTCTGACCCAGCCCTTCTCCTAAGTCACCTAAGCCTCTTTTCTCTCCCCAGACTCCTCCACCCTGCTTCCCCCAAGGAGTCCTGGGGCCCTGGGGGTGACAGCCCTTCCGGCCCCTCAGTCCCCTCTGCTGCTCCTCTTGCTGCTGCCCGTGGCCCTCCTGCTGCTGGCCGCTGCCTGGTGCCTGCACTGGCGAAGGACGAGGTGGAGGACGCCCTGCCCCGAGGAGCGGGTGAGCCAGCAGAGTGGGCAGAGAGGGTGGGGAGGGACAGGGGGATGGCTAGAGGCCCTGCCCACCCACCTGTGGATGACTCTGTGGGGGCCACAGGTGCCCCCTACCTCCAGTCCCCAGGACATGCTGCTTGCAGAGTGCTGACGTGGCCGGGGCCTCATCTTGGTGAGTCCTTCACATGCTGTAGGGCCTGGAATGCCAGGCTGAGGACACTGGAATATGACGGGGGGGAGGCTACTAGGAAGTCATGGGAGGGCTGTGAGCAATGGAGAAGCAGGGCATTTGCAGATGCAGAAAGACCCCTCTGGGGCCATGAGGACCAACTGTAAGAGAGACTGGAGGCCAAGGATGGGGCTGGATTAGGGTCCAGGGAGAGAGGATGAGGCCTGAGCCAGGGCTGGGCCCATGGGGATGGAGCAGAGGGACAGTTGAGGGGCCAGGGATCAGAAGGGACAAGGCTGGGAGTTGACAGGCTTGGTGAGGGAATTTGCACAGATAATCTGGATCTGGCCCAGTGACAGGGTGGACAAGTGGGGAACGCAGGGGATGAGCAAGATTAGGGAAAGACACTGATCTCAATGGGGACCTGAAGGAGCGAGGGATCCTGGGGAGGTATTTGGATACAGATGTCTGCAAGCCAGGACAGAGTGGCCTCCTGGGCAGGAGTGGTATGGCATTCCAGGAGGTGGGAACTGCCTTTGCTAAGCATTCCAGGTGAGAGAAAGCTCAGACTGTTCTAGTAACTTTGGCCAGTGCAAAGCAGCAGGGAGTCATGGGAGGTATGTGAGGGAGGAAAGAATCTGGGAACAGGTGTGGGGACAGGAAGCAGGTGGGTTGGGAGGGAGGAGAGGAGGCCCCCTGGGTCTCTGACAGGCTCACAGGGATCTAACAAGAAACATTTCTTAGTAATCACTCACACATATAGTGCCTTAGTGATGCAGGCCTTGTGCTGGTGCTTTCCAGTTGAGAAGTTGGCACCCATTTCACAGTGGCCAAAACAAAGGCACAGAGAGGTAAATAATTTGCCAAAAATCACACAGCTCATGAGAGACAACCGACATTGCCTCTAGTCTTCTTGTTCCAGCATTTGTGCCCTTCACTATTCTGCCTCAGTTTCCTTATCTGTACAAAAGGCTCTAATAATAGTCCTTCCACCCTACGGTTGTCATGCAAATAAGTGAAGTGACACACACAAAGCCCTTAGAGCAACACTGCCCAACAGAAATAGAATGCAAACCACACGTGTAATTTTAAGTTTCCTAGTAGCCACATTAAAAAAAAAAAGGAAAAAGAAGCAGGTAACTTTAAACAATATATTTTATTTCACACAATATATGCAAAATGTCATTTAAACATGTAATCAATATTTTTTAAAGGATCAATGAGATATTTTACATTATTTTTTTCATACTACGTCTTCAGAATCCAGTATTTTACACTCACAGCACATCTCAATTCAGATGGAAAACACTTGATTTGTACTTGAATTACACTTGAATTACATGAAATGTACAGTTCACATACTCAAGTTGTTTGAAACATACGTAAGTTTTCCACTAACTGGATGGAGGACCAGTTTCTAAATTTTATAATTTTTCATTTCAGGACTTGTTTCTGAACAGTAATTTCTATTATAATTTTTTTTGGAAAAGGTAATACATTG